ACCGGGACAAGTCCCGGTATCCCGATAGGCCAATCCGCCCCTGCCCATTTACCGCATGATCTATATTAATTTCAGTCTGTAAAGGCTTTCAAGTGTATTGCACCTGGTCTTACTTTAAAAGCTAAAAGAAGATAAATCGAGACTTTTTATGTACATCTTATAACATCTCACCAACCTACAAAGTTGTATAAACTTCAAGGGCATGGGCATAAACGTTTACATGATGGAATTTCAATTATTTTTCTCCTTTTAGGATCTAATTAAGTGATATTTATTAATTATATAAAATATGTATTTAATATAGTTTTTTCTGTGTTCAGAACACTATTCGTTCATGGTCTATTAATTAAATGTACATCTCCTACTTAAAAAAAATGTGGCTCAGAGGTTAATGTGGAGGACTATGGATGTGTGGGTCATTCGTCCACGTCCGTTTTCCGAAAGAAAGAAAAAAGTAAAGAAATAAAAATTCGCGGTCCGCGTTTTCCTCAGTATTCTAACATTTTATGATGTACAAAAGACTACAAACATCGTATGATAACTAAGAAAATGGTAAAATACATATAATGAACATTTTTTTTTGTCCATTTTTATTACCTCTAAACTCGCGACTTAGCCAGATCCAGATTGATAATAAACCTAGAGTGTATAACGTCCAGCAATTTTTGACATTCACTGACAAATATGTTAGAATATCTGTGAATAAAAGCTTCCGTTTCATGAAGACAAAAATCAGTAACGTTTTTGTCACATAGGAGTTATTAACCATTCTTTGACACTCTTTTGACCATTATTTACCATGTTCTGGTCAAAGGTCAATTGTTTTAAAGTGTAGAAAAGTTTTGTTTGTTTATTTGTAATTAAGCACAAAGCTACACAATGAGCTATCTGTGCTCTGCCCATCACGAATATCGAAACCCGGTTTCTAGCGTTGTAAGTCCGCAGATATACTGCTGTGCCACTGGGGGGCATAGAAAAAGAATGTCAGACATCATGGAAAAGTCAGAATACGATCCTATGCCCCCTTTTACCTGCAACTGGAAAGTGAAAATGTGTTTTAAGTGTAGTCGGTGTGGTTGTCACCGTTATGACATATTCACTAAAAAAATAGTTATAAAAATAAGGTCACAGAGAGTTCGAAAAACAAACAAACAAAAAACAAGCAAAACTAGAAGCGAGAAGTGGAAGGGTTTTAATTTGAGAGCAGAACCTGCTGCTGTCTTGGACCTTTGTAAATAGCTATTCATATCAAGCTCACCCATTACTCCCATTGCTATAACATTTTACAAAGGTCATACTTTTGTGCAGTTTTTTCTGTTCTTTTTCGTTAATTTTAATGGTTACACACCCATGGTGGTGGCGCATGAACCATTTCACTGCTCATAAAGTTAAACTAAAATGAATTATAGTTTAATGGGTAAATTATCGTGAAATTAAGCTGTTTGGTTTGTTTTTGAAATTCACGCCAAGCTACACGAGGGCTATCTGCGCTAGCCGTCCCTAATTTAGCATTGAGAAGGCAGCTAGTCACCACCACCCACCGCCAACTCTTTTACCAACGAATAGTGGGATTGACCATCACATTATAAGGCCCCATGGCTGAAAGGGCGAGCATGTTTGGTGGGACGGAGAATTAAACTGTAAGCTCGAGGAGTTATAACGCTAAAATTGGATTTCGATACCTGTGATGGAGAAACGTCAGAAATGATATTCAAATGTTGAATATAAGTTAAGACATTTTGTCTATTGAGAACTCAAGATTATTGAAAGAGAAATATGTTAATAGATAAAAGATTTCCATAATAGTTCTTCAGGCTTAATTAATGAATCAACAGTTTGGATTTAATCAAAGTTTTGTTTATTAGCATTTGCAATAAATACGTTTGGTGTTTTAAGCACATTTATTTGTTGTTGAAGTTCAAGTGTTTGGTTAATTTTAACTAAACCTGCACTCTTAAAGACAGGAACTGATTTTTAGAACAAACAAAAAACTAAAAGAATATCTAACTTATCTTGTTTTGTACAATAATAATCTTTCCTACTTCAAAATCAACTCGTTTATTAATATCAGCGGATTTAGTTAAAGCTTTTCTTTGCTGTTTAGTGACGTAATTTTAATTCTTTATGGGAATTCTTAGGCCTAAAATATAAATAATCAAAACCGTCCACTAAAATATAAATAAAATTAGATTACGAAAATAAATTGCTTATTTTTATTTCACATATAAAGTTACTTCATTGTAGACAAGTATCCTGGTATCTTGAAATAATTATCTCAGTTTAATGACATTTATTTTAGAACAGCGTACGAAAAAAATAATAATCCTGCTATAAATCTGTATCATTATTGTTCTCGTAAAAAATAAGCCTGACGCTGTCTTAGTGGTTAGTTTGTCGGGCTGCGTATCAAGGATTTGGGGTTCGAGACATGATGTTGCTGTGATCTCCAACCTTTCAGCTTTGGGTGTGTTATAAAAGTGGCAGCCAATTTCGTGTTTGGTTTTAAAGAACCAGATAAAACTTCCTGTGGCGGCAGGTGCTGCTAGATAACTGCATTTTTTTTCTTTTCGGTTTTTCAAAAATAGAGACGGCTATACCTGAACCCTAGGGGACTCCGACCTGGCCGTTTAGCCCGCGTTTGCATAAGGTAGTTTTCAGGCTGAAATTGCCTCCCGTTGGCTCAACTATAACATTGAAGGCTTATTACGATAAATTTCGAGTTTCGATACCCGTGGTGAACCCAGCACAAAAAGCCCATTGTGTAGCTTTGTGCCTAAATACAAACAAACAACAAAAAAAAAGGTGGGGGTTGGAAACTACAATTCTATTCCTCGGCAGAATATATACAGTATATATATATATATATATACATATAAGTGTGAGGATCTCACAACAAATATAGAATATTCTTTACTTATGAAGTTAACAAATATTTTGTGATTGTATGGTATATTGGTAAGTTTGAAGTTATTAGCTTGTTTATGTGTAAGAGGCCTCAATAACAAAAATGAAACAGTGTAAGCCCATAGCTATTAAGGTTACAGTATTATGTTTTTATATAACTTTGTGAAATAATTGTAAATTGATAATTTTTTTCCCATTATTTAGTGAAAAAAAAGAGCCCTTTTGTTCATATTATTAAATGCCTTGAACTGCTTGAGTACCAGAGTTTTGCTTTCTTCCGATTGCACTTCCTTCTGTATTTTTAAGACGGAAGTGCGTCAATACGTCATCGTCTCACTTACGTAATGCATCCGATATGGCCTAAAATGGTTGGTCTGCTTTATTTCCTTTATTTTGTGATGTAATTTTCTTTTTGTATACTCAATCTCAAAATGCATACCTGCCACACCTTACATGTTATATTAATTTCGAATAATTCAATCTTTTTAATTTAATAATAATTTATTTTCTTGTCCTTCACACCAGGTGTCGCCAGAAGAAGAAGAACGTAGGAAAATTCGTCGTGAAAGGAATAAGTTAGCTGCTGCCAGGTGCCGAAAACGACGGTTAGATCATACAAACAACCTAATGAAGGTGAAAAAAAATCTCAGGTTTTAATATTAATAATTTCGTTTTGATCAAAATTAACACAAATGAGCCAGGGAAGTATTGAAAAGCAAACACAGCTTTTGAGACGTATATATATATAAATGTATTATTTTTACGAAAATATCACATATTCATCAAAAAGGACTACTTTTGAGAATAAAACTTATATTTATGTGTATTTTCAAAATAACTGCTGATGAGAAAATCGTTTACAGACTGGAACTACAACGTATTTTTTTTCTTTTACTAACATTGTTCCATCAAATATTTTTTTTAGACCTATCACAATTTTCATGTTGTAGCGTGGGATATTAACATCACTCGTAATTACTTGCACACAACCCCCTGTGATTACATTGCGAACGATAAAAAATATGGTAATTTGAGCCTGTTTATGTATTTTAAATATTATACACTGGTAAAAATGACACTTGACTCTAGAATGTTATGTTTCCAAGTAGTTTTATTTAGTAAAGGAAACCGATAGATGACGGGTCGAATTAGGGAGAGTGCCGCCATAAAACCCGTTGCCCGACATCATTTCTTATATAACGTGCAACTCACGAGCAGTAACCACACATTTATGAAAAATTTGATAATATCTTGTAAATGTTCTTAATATTATACAGTTGTTCTAGTTATCGTGATTAATATTTCTTCTTATATATTTATATATATTTATCAATTAATGTTTGAATTAGATCGCAGATGTATCTCACAGATAACAAATTACACACGTCTGATTTTCCATTATAATGTGATGAGAGTTTCAGGCCACATGATAAATATACAATTATTCAAGAAGATATAGGAATAACCACTTTAAGAACAAGAAAAGAACGTTTAATATAATTAACATTCAAAACGGCCCGGCATGGCCAGGTGGATAAGGCG